ATTGACTGCGTGTGTCGAGTGTGCGCACTGGGAAGATTGTAACAGACCTCGAAAGGTCATTCAAATGCACACAAGCCCCCCAGGAATTCGCAGATATGGATTTCTAGACGGAAGATCAGTAGTTATTGTGATGCGTTCACTAACACTCTGTCAAACTTATCTCTGGTCAAACCTTTGTGAAGTGGCCACCTTCCAGCTCTTTGTACCTGTGTTTCCAACAAACAAAGGTGACCCTTTTGCGTTGAATTGAAGGGCAAAGTTTGATGGGTGTGTCCGTGTTTTTGGGCACCCATTTAGTACCCATTTGTTGGGGCTTTAAAGGAAAGCCAAAAGGAAAACCACCACTGTGGGGGGGGGTCCCCTCAAAACAGACACGCCCCAGTGGAAACAAGCCACATTTGTGGGCACCATGAGGTTGGACAGCCTCAGAATGCTTGACACATTGGTGCCTCATGGTGCCCCATGTTGGGCCCGACTCCCTTTCAAGAATAGAATCGCGAGATCCTCAAGGAAGCCATGGAAATGGCGGCGCTTCAGCCCCCGCTCACGTTCGGGAGTTTGGTGAGTCTGAAACAGCGGGACTTCCCCCATTTTAACAGACAACAATGCTGAATTGGCTGTGGGTGATCCCGGCAAAAAGAAGGGAACCACAGGTGGACAAAGGGACTCAACAGCAGCTTCTGTTTGCCCGAGCGGCTGTCATCCTCCATGTCTGTGTGGGCACATCCAGACGACAGGTGTCAAAAGAAAATCAACCGCAGCTGGTTGGCAACATCTGGCAACTCTCTGCGATGTGTATAACTAACGCAAAAAGAAGGGATCGCTACAGTTTGCCCAGCCTCATGTCAGTTCCCCTTTAAAGCTGACCGCGGATATTGACATGTGTGCGGCAAGTCATGATATATATATATATATATAGAGATGTGTAATATGATGGACTTGAAGCGTTGCCATTGTTTCAGGATATGTTCTGTGTTCCATCTCTTTCAACGTGACTTGCTCTGGGCGTTCGAGTCTTCGAGTCCCCAGTCAACCATTGGGCCCTAACTGCCCGGAGCAGGGTCTTTCAAACGCTAGGTTCGCGAAGGTTTTGTGACAGCTGTGGGTCTGGCAGTTTCCATGAGTGTCAAGTCTCAATAGGCCTTCGGGGGGGTGTCAAAAGATGGCACCCAAGAGCAAGGGCCCCAATCCTGACATCCATGCAAAATGTGTTGTCCATCCAGCGTCAGGCTAGCTAGCCTATTGTGAGCCACAGGTGACAACACAGGCGGCGCAAGAAGCTGTCCAGCTTGTCATGTCATCTTTGTCATGACATCTTGACGAAGGTGGCTGACAGGAAACCGCAAGAAAACACCAAACAGCAAAGCAATGCCTGGCACCTTCAGCGTCTGCTGCATGTTTTGCAGCTAGTTTCAGGGATCGCCCTTTTGTAGGATTTCTCAGTTAGGCCGATGCGCAATGGTGCTCATTGTAAGTATAGAAAATCATTTTAGAGAACTTCGGGCATGGCAGCCCCTGACTCAGTGCTGAGCGTTTCCGGCTCGCATATCCAAACTGATGCTGAGTTGCCAAGTGACCTGAGAAACAAGCAGGCTCATTTGTCTGTTTGTTATTGTGGTGGCAAATAGGTGACCTCAACAAACTAAGACACTCATTCCCTTTCAGGTCAGCTTTCATAAACTTTGCAGTGAGTTCTGCAAAGGCGAACCTAGACACCCAAACCAATTGCAGCAATCGAGGAAGCCAAGCCCGGACCATTAACTCGTCCGGAAGCATGGACGAGCTTCATCACGGTATGGAGGAAATGTAAGACCATACTCCCAAACGCGTTCGTGAAAGGGGTCTTGGAAGGATTCTGAGAACCTTTCATGGCGGCGGTAAGCAAGCCCGTGTTATCCCTCGTTCCCGTGCAAGCCAAGAACCCCCTCAAAAAACTCGGATCCCAGCCCGCTGGGCCATTCGCAAAGAAACAAACCAGAGCGGAGACTGAGATCTCCAACTCAGAACTGGAGGAACTTTCCTCTTTCTGAAAAAACTAAATCGGCTAACGTGACATGTGAGGCCTGAACCGGCCAAAACCATTTAATCGGCATTTCAGCCGCAGCATGTTGCTCAATCATATTGGAATTTGGAAAGCAACACCCAATGTCCATACTTGCAAATTGGGGCGAACCCAAGGTGGAAACAAAGTAATTGGGGAAAAATCCTGGTGTATTTTGGTTTGCCTGTGCTGGCATTGAGCTGTCTGCTAAAGCCAAACTCTCGGAATCCGCCCTTCTGCTCCAAAGAGGGCAAGGTGGGAGGCCACCACCAACTGCCAACTCCCATTTGTGAAGCACCGAGGAAGCAGATCAACATAAGATCCACCGGCAACGGCTCCAGAAATGGTGGCTTCTGACAAAGGTGGGGAATCAAAACATGGGCTATGTGGGCTGCTTTGACCACCAACCAACAGGTCCGAATCATTTGAGATATTATTTTGCGAAACCCCCAATCCCTGACCGCCAGGTAGCAACAGGGTGAAGCGTGGGTGCCCCATGGAAAGCCGGAAACTTGGAAACAACTTGGAAACTCAGACCCGTGGAAGTGGTATACTAGCAAAAGGTAACTGGTATATAGAATGTGTTGGAAAATCAGTGCATTTTGGCTCAAAACTTCTGCAGAATCATGCCATGCGAGCGTTTCCCATGAACCCAGAAATGGTCCTAAAACCATGCGCATTTGAGTGCCCAGTGTTTCTCAAATGCTTCGCATGTGTTTCTAGCAAACACATGAGAAGCATGTGAGGAGCACAGGGCCATTATCAGCAGACTCACGCGCATCCAGACTCATTGCTACACACAAGTGGAAGCAGCCCTGACGGACACACGCAAGCGCGTGCATGCACACACTGTGTAGCTGAACATGTCTGAAGCATGGCGCTCGTGCACGAAATATCACCCTGAGAGGGACAAGAAGAATGACGAAAGCAACGAGTAGGTGTCAAATGCGGACACCTTACTCTTTGCTGTCCCCACTGTTCTTTCCAGCACACAGAATCTCACATTTGCTAACGTGTTCTCATACTTTCTCACATGTTCGCGCATCTCATATGCTCTCACATGTTGTCATACATGTTCTCATATGTTCTCATAATTTATCATAGTTTCTCATAGTTTCTCATATGTTCTTGTATGTTCTCTTAGATTATCATAGCACTGCGTGGCTCTCGCGTGTTCTCATATTTGACACAGTTTATCACATGCACACGTCATGCCTATCATAGGCTCTCATAGATACTCTCAGTTTCTCACATTTCTGTCTGGGATTCTCATATCTTCTCGCACATACTTATCATGCTTCTCACGCGTTCTCATATTATGTGCATTGATGGCGCCACATCACAAGTTTCCTCGTATCACTTCACACGCTCACATACTTCGCCAACTGCAGATCTCATATCTTCTCATAGTTCTCACGTTTCTGTTATTTCACATATGTTTCATCTATTCCGAATTTTCTCATATGTTCTCATATCTTCTCGTATGTTCTCGTAGTTTCTCATATTTTCTCATACTTTTCACATATGTCTCATATTTTCTGATATGTTTCATCTTTCTCATAGTTCTCATATTTTCTCATACATGTCTCACATGTTCTCACATGTTCATGCGTCTCCTGCAGCATATGTTCTCACCTGCTCTTACGATCTCGAATGTGTCACGCATCTCCTCATGCTTCGCACAGCTTCTTATCATACATCCCATGAGTGTTGACTTATCAATATGACGCAATGCATTGCTTTCTTGTGAGTTCTCCCACATTTTCCTCGCTTCCCATCTGGCTCTCATTTTCCTGCTGCTCTAACGCTACTCACATTCGCTTGCCAAGCTTTATCACGCATCCTCAGTTGCTCGCACACTTCTCTCGCATCTCATCTGGTCTGACTTGTTAACATTTCTCACATGTCCCTAACTGTTTGATGGGCAGGAAGCAGCGCAGCAAGCGCTTGGCGCCCAGTCGGGTCAAGAAACTGATGGAGGAAGGCAAGCGGTCCGCTCCTGGCACCAGTCCCTTGCTTTCACCTGTCAGTTTCCTCTGTGCCCTGTGTGATACCACATGAGAGCATGTGAGAACATGTGAGACACATATGAGAATATGATACAATGCGAGAAATATTGAGAAACTATGAAAACATGTGAGAAACTATGAGAAAATATGAGAAACTTTGACAAACCATGAGAATTTATGAGACGTGAGAGAAGCAAGACGTGCAATTTCTTGCGAGCAACCTGAGAGAATGTGAGTCTAAACATATGAGACAATGTGAGAAGTCTGCTACAGACTCCTGGCCAGCAGCTGGTAGGCTGGGTGAGGAAGGTGGCAGACGGTCCAGAGCGTGAGAAAGGTAGAGAAATATGAGAACATCTGCACGCGCGGTCATGAAAAAAACTGGGAAACTCTGTGTCGGAGAAGGCCAATAAGAAGACAAAGAAGACCACAGCCCAGGTCCTTGACGACACGGCCGAGCCTGCGTGTGACAAGACGGTGTGAAGCATGGCCCAAAGCTGCCGCCAGGTTTGAAGCCTGCCAACTTCCCAGCGACATTCGCAGGCCGCAAGGCGCCAACAAGCCCTGGCCTGGCGCTCACAGTGCAAGCAACTTACCAACCCTCATGTGTGTAGCAATGATGCTCGATGTGCGTGTCTGCAGATAATTGCTCCGTGCTCCTCACATGCTTCTCATGTGTTTGCTAGAAGCACTGGGCACTCAGATGCGCATGGTTTTAGGACCATTTCTTGGTTTACGGGAAACGCTCGCATGGCATGATTATGCCAAATTGTTGTGCCAACATAGTCTGATTTTCCCCCAAAATGGGCACAGAAACTATATACCAGCTACCTTTTGCTAGTATACCACTTCCATGGGTCTGAGTTTTTTGGGGATGATCTGATGATCTTGGCAGGTTTCTATTTTTGCACCCACCAAAAGAAGAAGAAAAAAAACGGGACCCCAGATTCCTGGAAGTGCGAGTGCTTGTTGATCCGGTGCAAGGGTTGCGCCTAAGCTGCGAGTCGGACATCGGCTTTTTATCGAAAATTGCCTGGTCTCCTTCAAGGCCTCCCCTTACTTGGACAAAGTGGGAACCCCCCCTTCAATCTCGGCTTCAGAGGAAGCAAAGGCAAACCGTTCTTTTGAAATTGTGGGCACGATTTCTGGGTTGCCTCATAAATACATGCTTGGTTTGCCTCATACATATGCCACAGGAGACCACTGCGTTGCCCGAGGGCTGCAGCTTACGCGCAGCAAGAAAGAGTGTGGCGCAACATCAAGTGTCCGTAAACGAAGTGCATTTTGCCCGCTACCGGTTGTAACATAAATCTGTCTTTGCTTGGACCACAGCTAAAGGGCGGTGTGCCAACAAACGTGAGCCTGGTGATCTTGATCTATCATTTCGGATGGTGGGGAAATATCTGAAACCATGGTCTGCGAAACCTTTCTTGGCAATCGGCCCCCTGAAGGTGAGTCAAACGTTGTTTTTTGTTTCAGATGTTTGGCAAATAAAGGGACACCTGAAAGAGTGTACCTACACATGCCTTGGGGTTCCTTTCGCGTTGCAATGAGGGGGTACCAAAACATACATGGGAGGTTGACCTCGCTGAACACATGATACAGAGATGTGTCAAGAATACGGGAACCCCTGAAAGGGTGGTTGCCCGTGAAAAGGGTACTCGCAAAACACACACACACACACCCATGGTCCTAAAGCAAGTTGACGAATGGGCCGACATCTGTTCTTCACATCGAACAATCGGTTGAGCCAAGTCTCTCACAAGAGCCACAGAAGGTTATAATGGCCCTCTTTGGGGGGCCATGTTTTTCCTCTTCCAATGGAAGCAATAGAGGGTTCCTTCGAAATTTAAAACTAACAAGAAGCTGCTCAATAATTTTATCAACACCCAGACTTCCAGTATCCGTCGGAAGAATAAGGGCCGCCCTTTTTGCTGGCTCTTTCCAATCAAGCAGAGAGGGAATGTTCGTGATTAGTGATTATTTTTGCATGACACACGAGGGCTGATCCACATCATTGCGCCGCTCATAGGACCAGCGAGAAGCTGACATTTTGAAGAGAAGGGTTGACCTGGAGATCAAACATGAAAATGTAAACTCGAAAAAATGGCCTGCAAACACTGCATGGAGCACACGTAACGTCTCGCCGCGTAAACCTATGCCCTCTGCCACGCCCCTTGATTGTGGTGTCTTGCGCGGTGTAGGCGCTGCTCTCAGCACAGTCTGTCGGAACATATGCCGGGGATGCACGGCTGGCCACTGATGGTAGCCTCTGGGTCGACGCGCTCCTCCAGGTCCACCAGAACTACGAGCGGCTCAACCATTTATCTCATTCCAAAAACCCTTGGTTTTGATGCGCCCTCTCTAAATCAAAGGGACTTGCGCTGTTTGTCCTGCAAAGGAGTTGTCCACGGTCCTTAGAGCCTTCCTTAAGAAAGAACAACCAAGAGCCTAGGTTGCTAACACCTACCCGAGCTTTACCCAAATATCTAGACTAGCACTAGAGACAGGGTCCAAGCAACCCCCATTGTTCAAACATCTATCATGACAACGGCCTCCTAAGAAAATTCACAAGTTCCCAGCCCTTGGAAAACCTACAAACATCACCAGTCAGCCCAAAATCAATCAGCATCCTTACAAATGTAACACAACATGGGTGTGGGTCAAAGTAGGTACCCAAAATGGTACCCAAAATGGTTTGGTCTGCCACCAGGGGCCCATACCCTGGCGGTTTAACTTTGCCCTCCCAGCACTCCCCGCATGACAAGCGGCCAACTCTTCCGCCCAGATCTGCGCCACGCGAAGCTCCAAGCCTGTGCGAGTCGCCAAAGGCAAATGCCGACCGGGTGAAACCCCTCTTCTCCAAAACAGTGCTATACACTCAAAAAAAACTGCCCCCCCGGCATCCGGACTTTTTCCTCGCTTGTCCTGCGCGGGACTGCTGGTTCCCCCAACCTATCCAGAGATTCCGATTCTCAAACCCATTGGTGAGCATGCCAGCTTGAGCGCGCGGGGAAAATAAAGGGGTCTGTGCAAAGTGCAGAAGCCCTCTAAACTCTAAACCACCA